GAGGTCAAGAGATCAAGACCATCCTAGCCAACACGGTGAAACCCCATCTCTACTAAAAATACAAAAAAAATTAGCCAGGCATTGTGGCACGCATCTGTGGTCTTAGCTACTCAGGAGGCTGAGGTGGAAGAATCGCTTGAAACCAAGAGGCAAAGGTTGCAGTGAGCCGAGATTGCACCACTGTACTCCAGCCTGGTGACAGAGCAAGACTCCGTCTCAAAAAAATAAAATAAAATAAAAATAAATAAATAAAAAGAAGGGTCAGAGATTATAGCTAGACCAATAACTTCCCTCCTTTCTTCTACTGTGCTTCTGATTAAATTAGTGGTTTTTTAAGCTTGGCCAAACATTGGAACCAATTAGGAAGCTTTAGAAAAATACTGATTCTTGGCTCCCAACTTCCCGAAATACGTGGTAATTAGTCGGTGTACTTCTAGGCATTGGAATTTTAAAAACTCCACAGGTGATTCAAATATACAGCCGAGGTCAAGAACCATGGATCTAAACTACTGTTTAGGTCACTGTCTGTACTACCTCTGTGGCATGAAAACATGAGCTCATATACAAGATCCAAGATTCCAGCAGAAAATATCACACAGTTAAGGCTCAGAGTGGAGGATAACTGAGGATGGGGCAGGGCAGCAATGGCAAGAAGTGAGAAGGAGCCACTGCTCCCAGCAACTCACTGGCCTGTGCGGTGTCACAGGGCTCCTGCTTCATGGAAGACTGTGACCTACTTCCCACGTGTTTCAGGGCCTGCTCCTGACTGCAGACTCCATGGAGTGCTTCCCACTACAGTGAGCTGGGCTTTTCCTGGCAAATGAGACTTATACTGACCACTTCACAACTAATCCACTTGTGAGAGGATCCAGACTTTTCTGGCAGTCGTGGCCAGAAAGCAGCATCACATGTACAGCTGCAGAAGGCTACAAGAGCCACCTTTCCCCAGCCAGCAGGACTCCTGCACACCTCTTGCCAGCCAGCCTCCTTTCCCCTGCAGGATGAAAATGCTGCTGGTTCCTATACGTGTCCTCTCCACCCTCGACAGCTCCTGCACACAGGGAGGTGTTATGGTGAGTAGGGAGCTGGGTGCAGTGGAGGAACAGTTTTCCTTGTCAATGAACTTTCAAGAATGGAAAATTTCACTTGGCTTAAGAAAGTCCAAACATTTGCCTTATAAAACAAGCAGCAATCCTTTATTCATAAGCACATTGAGTACAAATGACAACTAAGACCTCGTCTTATTAGCTCTTGGGGTTCTAGAATTGTGTACTGTCGGGTTTTGTGTATTAATATCTAACTGTGGTTTTAACTAGCATTTCCCTAATGAACAAAGGTGCCGGGCAGCTTTTCATGTGCTTATTTGCCATTCATATATCCTCCTTGAAGAAGTGTCTGGTCAAGTCTTTCACCGTTTCTTTTGCCTTTTTAACGCAATTTTAGAAAATAAACTTCATTTTTTAGAACTGTTTTAGATTTGTAAGAAATTTGCAAATGTCGTAGAGTCCCCCTGCACCATGTATTCAGTTTCCTATGTAATTAACATCTTGTATAAAAAAATATGGCACATTTGTTCCAATTAATGAAGCAATATTGATGCATCATTATTAACTAAAGTCCAAATTAATCCAGATTTCCTTTCTTTTTACCTAATGTCCTTTTTCTGTGGCAGCAGCCCATACAGGACACCAAAGAACATTTAATCATCATGTCTCCTTAGGCCTCTTGGCTGTGACAGTTACTTAGACTTCCCTGTTTTTTTATTTTTATTTTTAATGACTGTAATAATTTTAAGATATACTGGTCAGGTATTTTATAGAACATCCTTCAACTGAAATCTGTTTCATGTTTTTCTCATTAAATATTAGACTGAGATTGTGGGTTTGCGGGAGAAAGCCACAGAGGAAAAATATCATTCCCATCATACCTTACAGAGAGTATATTCTATCAACTGTTGATGTTGGCCTTGATCACCTGGCTCAGGTAGTGTTTGTCAGACTTCACCAGTGTAGAGTTATCCTTCCCCCTCTTTTCATAGTGCACTCTTTGGAAGGAAGTCATTATGCACAACCTACACTCAAGGAGTGGGTAGTTCTGCTACCTCTCCTTGAGGGTGGACTTATATAAATTTCGTGGAATTCTTCTGCTTTTGCTGATTTTTCAGCCGGATGTGTTTACTTACTGTTGAGTCTTAAGAGTTCTTTATATGCTCGGCACACAAGTCCTTCATCAGCTATATGAATTGCAAATGTTTACTTTTCAACCATAGTTTGTCTTTTTATTATCTTAACAGTATTTTTGCAAGGCAACATTTATAAATTTTACTCAAGTCCAAATTATTCATTTTCTGTCTTCTAGGTAGTTCAGAAAGCTGAGTTCTAGTCACAACAGCTGCAACTGCACCCGTATTCAGGGCTAAGCAGCAAGAGGACAGAGAGGAGGTAGGTGCTCCATACCCTTTTGGGAATTCAGCTTCTTGAATTAGAAAGGAAGAGTCCCCTCCCTCAGGGTGTTAGGCATCTGAGAGGAAAAATATCCACTGGTTGTCCCTTTTGTGTGTCTTAAGTTAGACCTAGGGGGCTTCTCCCGGCATTCTCTCTGTCTGTACTCAAGGTCCTCTTCCAGGCTTTGGGCTGCCTTGATTCCAGGCTGGGAAATTCCATAAGAAAATGAGAAACTCACTGCCATCAGTGGTACCTTAAGTTCTGGTCTTGTCCCCAGTCGGCCTTTTCAGAGTCCTCCAATAGTGCTTCCATGCATTGTATCCAAGCTTGATAGCTCCAGTTCAGAGTGAGTTTGATGAGTCTTAAGGGAGTTCCAGGCCAAGTTCCTGCCAGGAACTGATTCGGCTTTGTGCTTTTCCAGGGAGACTCTGTTCTCAGGCTCCATGTGGGCAGTACCTGAACTGCAGGCTCCTCCCCTCACCTAACAAGTGCAAGACTGCAGACTCAAGATCCCAGTTCTCACAGATTTAAATAAGCAGAAAACCACCAAGAATATCTTGCTTATTGTGTGTTCAGTTGGATGACTAGAAACCAAAAATCTTACGAAGAGTTTCTGATCCTCCCTTTTTATCCATATCTAGGATTAGTTTCTTCTAAATCACGATTGCTATTCTGCAGTGGTTTAGTGGAAAGAGCTTGGGGATTAAAATAAAAGGTTTGATTCTAGTCCTGAACACTTACTATGAGGGCAAGTCAATCAAGCTCATGGAGCCTGCTTTCTCAGAATGGGATAACCTATTTCACAGAGTTGATATGAGGGTCAAAGAACAGCTGTTTGCTACTGACAAGCTTCTCAGTTGGTCACATCCTCTTTTTTCAGGTTCCCATAGCATTATGTACTTTCCAGTGTGTAACTCTCAACACAACTGCAACTACTTGTTCAATTACTCTTCTGGACTAGACTAGAAGCTTTTTGAACAAGGAAGACACTGTGCTTGCCTGATTCACTACTGTATTGCCGGGTCATAAGAGGTGCTAAATAAAGATGTGTTTGTACTATTATAAGACTGATGTTGCTAAAATGATCATTGTGATGTTATGTCACATATTTAACATCATATTGTGGTATCAAAATAAACTCATTCGTAGGAAGAACTAAAGATTTTAAGTCAAAGGAAATAATGAATGATTGAAAATTAACATTCTGAAGAAAACAGGGATTTTTACCACTACTCCTACCAAAAAAATAATTACTCTCTTAAAAGATCCAGATTTGCCATCCAGATACTTCTAAAAGAAGAAAATAAAGCAGTCTTAAGAAGAATGCCTTTTTCCTTAGGTTGTCAGCTTGACACATTCAGGACAGAAGCTCTCCTTCAGTGCTTAACATTTTGATTCATAGACTGAGGTCTCAGAAGATAAAAAAATGGAAACATGTCATCTAAATGTCAGCACTGATTTTATGATATTCTAGAAGGAAGCAAACAGGAACACATGAAAGCTTAGGTGTCCTGTCTGAGATTTCAGTGCACGGTGTCTTGGAAGTACCTGAGTAGAGTGTGTATGGCATCTTGGAAGGATGAGAAATTAGAGTAATGATCATTCATCTTGGTAAAAAGCCCTTAGCTTCTATATCATTCACGGTTCTCCAGAGAGCAAAACAATGGGAAATATATCCATATCTATATATGTATATAAAATGAGGAATTAGCTCATGTGATTATGGAGGCTGAGAAATTTCACGATCTGCCATCTACAAGCTAGACTAGACTATAAGCTCCTTTAACAAGGTAGACTAGGAAAGCTGGTGGTCTACTTCCAGTATGAGCCCAAAGGCCTGAGAACTAGAGGAGCCAACAGTGTAACCCCAGTCTGAGTGCAGTAGATGATCAGATGAGATGTCCCAGCTCCAGCAGTGAGACAGAAAAGAAAGACAAATTCCTTCTTTCTGCTCCTTATTCTATTCAGACCCTCAATAGGTTAAATGATGCCCACTCTCATTGGAGAAGACCATCAACTTTAGGGAGTAAGTGCTAATCTCCTCCAGAAACACCCCCACAAACACACCCAGAAATAATGTTGAACTAGGTATCTGGGTACCTCTGATCCAGTCAAGGTGATACATTAAATTAACAATCATAGCTTCCATGGTAATAGCTACAGAGCTCTATGATCATCTTTCACGGTAGCTTTATTTTACAGCGATTTTCACACGTCTATTTAACTCATCATGTTTCCCTTAAACCTGTTCTTCCCTCACTTATTCTTTTTCCTAGCAAATGATACCACCTGGCTATCCAAGCCAGAAAGTGGGGAGTTCACTCAGGCCTCACCATTCCTTTCTATCACACCTCTCTATGCACTGGGCTATCCAATCCTTTGAATCATGAATATTTCTTGCATCCATCTCCTTCTTTATGTTTCTACCAGGTATACCACAGGCCTCTCTCTGTCTGAATGAGACACTTAAAATTGTTGAATAAATATTTTCTTCTTCCCTCCTGACCTCCATTAGATTTCAGGCTTCTTGAGGGTGAGCAATGTTTTTTTCATTTTGTATGTGTATGTGCATATGTGTTTTGGTGTTCATGTGTGCACATGTGCATGCATGTACATGTAGGGGCTCACATAGCACCCCAAAGAGTGCAAGGCAACTCATAAGCCTCACGTGGATATTCATTTAATTAAGTACTAAAATGTCTAAGTGGAAATATTACCAAGCTAGTTTTTCAGTGCTCAGTTTGGAATTCTGAAGTCAAAACCGATGTACAAGGTATATTTCTAGGGGAACCAAGAAGTACTGAGGCATCTCCTTATGACTTGCCTTGGTGCCAGGTCTTTAGCTTAGTATAGTCACTTTGTTGAATGAAGGCATTGGGTTTCCAGAAGATTCCTGTTAAAAAGGAGCAGTATAGGGAAGAGGCTACACTTTTGGGTTCTGTAGTCAATAGACTGTGTTCAAATTTCAGCTCTATCACTTTTAGCTATGAAATTATCTATACATTTGTACTCTTCAGTGTCTTCATCTATAACATTGTAATGAAATATTAATACCCATGCATAAGAATGTTTTACATATTAAATAGTATAATATATATAGAGTGTTTAATAGAGTGGTCCATTTCCTCCATAGGAAGAGGGATGAGCTATGTGATAGTGGTGAGTCTGGCTTGCAGTGGGCCATGGTTTCCAGAGGTGGGGTTGCTACACTGAAATGTAGGCAACCTAAATCTCCATCTTCTGTCTGTCTGTCTCTGTCTCCTGCCTCCTACCTGCATCCCTTAAAATTGAATATCCTTTCTTCCTTAGCTTCTTGCTACCAAGTGATAGTCTTAGGTCAGGGCCTGACCCCTGATACAGGGAAGGCAGCCTTCTTGAGTTTATCCAGGAGTTAACTGGAGACAGATTGAATAAGGATGGGACCAAGCTCTTCCATTTCTCCAGTGCAATTTTACAAGCAGAAATGTGATATTATATCTTGATTTTTACTTGTTTCTTGGCTGAAACTGAAAGGAGGGATAAGTGAGTGGCTGATATCATTTGATTTTTATAAATGTTAATATTATTGTTGTTGATAAGATGGTTATTAAGCCTGCACAAGTAAGACAGCACATGTAGCCATTAATGTGAGTGTATTCAGGCAACAAAAACCAGAAACTGCTGATAGAACTAATTATGGAGGAAAAGCTTAAGCAGACGGCGCATCGGTTGGGAGGGGTGTCTGTGAGCAAACCAAAATAAAACCAAGTAAGGAAACCCAGAAGACAAAGTTAATGTGCTGTAATGACCTTACTAAGGCCTGAAGTTCCTCCTGAGACCTTGAAAAATAAATAACAAACAGAAACAAGTATTCCCAATCAGTTCAGTGATGCAAACATTAATTATTCCTTAGACTGCCAAGTTTGACATACAAAGGACCAATGGGATATATTGCTGATGAAGGACATCCAACCACTTTGGAAAACAGTTTTAAATTCAACTGTCCAGATGAGCATAAGCATAACCCATAACCCAGGAACTGGGTATAAGAGAAACACTCATTTATAAGCACTGAGATAATAGCAAGTAATTGGAAATAACACAAACATCCACTGCTGGGAGAACAGGCAAATTGTGACGTCCATATGAAACAATACTATACAACAGGAAAAAATGCAAATTTTTGTGACGTCCATGAGACAATACCATACAACAGGAAAAAATGAATGAAGTTCAGTGGCATGAAACAAAACAGACAAATATTTGACATATAACGTTGGGGGGGAAAGCAAGCCACAGAAGGTTATGTACAGTCGTAACTATGGAGAGTCACTATAACACTATGTATGATATCACTCTTTATTAAGCTCAACAAGAAGCACAGCTAAAAAGTAGATGTGGCTTAAGGGTGTGAATATAGATGGTAAAATCTTTGATAAATACAAAACTCACTCCAGTGGACCTTTGTGAGTGTGGGGAGGCAGATAAGGGGGCACATAAGTATTACTAATATTTTATACATTCATTTGTGTGTTTGGTTCCTGGGTATTTAATTTATTATTATGTTTTAAATATGGATATATATATATATATATATGTATATTACTTTTTCATATATGTCAAATATTACATAGTAAAAAGAAAAACTTTTAAAGCTATATCATGTTTTTTTGGGTATAAAATGTTACCTCTCTTGTCTGAACAGTTCTAGGCAATAATAAATAGATTGGCTTATAAATATTTATATTTACGTTTAAAAATAATTTCTGGTTCCTTTGCTTAGATGGGGGAAAGGGCATTGTCTATAGAGTCCATAAAAATACAGTGATCATTCCTTATCATAAAGCACATTCACTAGTTAAACATCTTTATTTTACACTCTCCGAGAAAATGATTGGTCAGGCCACTCACAGTGTGTCACTCTGGGAATCCCTGGCTGAGGACGGAGGACTGCCTGAGCTCAGCAGCTTGAGACCAGCCTGGAACATAAGGAGACTAAGACCTTGTCTCTACTAAAAAGAAAGGAAAAAAAAATTAGCAGAACATGGTGGCATGCACCTGTAGTCCCAGATACTCGGAAGGGTGAGGTGTGAGGATCAACTGAGCCCAGGAGTTGGAGGCTGTGGTGAGCTGTGATTGTGATATTCACTCCAGCCTGGGCAACAGAGTGAGAGCCGGTCTCAATAAATAAATGAAATGAAATGAAAATGAAAATGATTGGTCTCAGTAGAATCTATGAATGGACTAGAAAAGATGCTGAGTGATTTTAGGTTCTAGAGCACTATACACATTATATATATCAGAAAAATCCATTATGAGGGAGGGTGTTGGGAGGTATTGGTCAAAGGGTAGAAAATTTCAGTTAGACAGGAGGAATAAGTTCAAGACATCTATTGTATAACATGGTGACTGTAGTTAATAACAATGTATTGTATTTCAAAAATTGCTAAGAGAATAGATTTTGAAGTGTTCTCACTGCAAAAAAAAATGGTATGTGAGGTAATACATATGCTAACAGCTTCATTGAGCCATTTCATAAGGTACACATATTTCAAAACATCATGTACACAATAAGTATATAATATTGTTGTCACTCAATAAAAATAAATAAAAAAGATTAAATAAATTATAAAAACAAAATTAAAAAAATTAAATCAGAGATTTTTACAAAGAATAAACCATCATAATACAATTCCATGTTATATGTCTTTGGCTTCTAATTTCTAAAAAAAAAAAAAAAAAAAAAAAGTGAATTCAGTAGGGTTGGAAAAATATTTATTTACTTAGCCTGATCCCTCTTCTCTAAGCCCCTTCCCCTCAAAACACTGAATGCTTACAGATCTTTGAAGGAAAAATAGCATGAGCTTTATGACAAAATTCAATATTGCAAACCTAATCAATGACAGTTTGCTTCTCTAATGGATTTTGTGTGCAATCATCCAGAAGAGAGAAAGGCTGGGAGGTCTGTTGAAGCTTATCTGTTAGAACAAGGCTGAATTACATAAAATCATCTTAGAGGCTACATTTACTTCAGTAAGTGTCTTCATAAGGAAAAAAAATACTTTACATTTTTCAATTCAATGAGACTTGAACCAATGAGGAAATTAATATGCAGGATGTTCAAATAAGTTAGGATGATAAAATTAAATTCATTTTAAATTAAGATAATCCATGTCCACTTTTAAATTATATTGTTTATTTCTTCTAATCATCTTGTTTACTCCTTCTTTGCCTTTTTTATTATCTTACTATCTGTGGACTTTTCATTTTAGTTTCACACTTGACCAGAGAGCAGGAGAGCTGAACAAAGCTGTTGATATGTAAATAGCAGCTTTGAAGATGGAAGCACCAGATTGTTCCTAAACAGAAGAAAAATTGCAGCTACTTTATTTGAGTGAGTAGAAAAAAAGGTGTCAACATATAATTTCAATTTCTCTCTAAAATAATGTGTGACACCTGGGTTTGAACTTTATACTAAGTATGACAATATCATGGTAGGTTGACAATTATCTTGTTCATTTCCTTTGCTTTTAGAAATAATCACAATATTCTTTCAGAAATATATTTTCTTACTATAGTTTCAGATTTTGGATTTGCAAAGTCAAAGGGTTTTATTGATATAGAACCTACAGAATCTCTAGTTCAGGAAATAAATTAGGTTCTTTGTTTCTTTACTTCTCTAATACACTTGCTTTCACTTTATGGACTTGCCTCAAATTCTTTCTTGTGTAAGATCCAAGACTCTCTTGGGGTCTGATTGGGACCCCTTTCTGGTAACACTTTGAGATTTGAGACCTTGCTGACATGGAAGGTCTGACCCTGGCGGAACTGCCCCTCTCAGAGAGAGCACACAGCTTGGCTTGGAGTTTGCCTTTCATGTGCTAACCAACCAGTCAGAGCCCATACCCCTAACCACCTCCTCTATGAAACTCAAGCTCTTAAAATCTGGGCCACTCACTGTCCATCTCCGCTAATCACCACAGGGCCAGACACCATGCAAATGGACAGCTCCTCTGTCCCAGAGCCTGCTGAAAGTATTCAAACTAGCCAGTACAAAACCTGTTTGCCCTGCCTTGTCCTTTCCTTTGGCAGAAACCACAACAATGGCTCCAGCCCCTTTTTATTCCCTCTCCCTCTGCTTTCTGACAGCCCCTGGGGCTTCCCTATGTGGTGCTGAAATGTGTGTCACGTCTCCTGTTTCTAGGGATCTGTGAGTATAAAAAATTTCTTTCATGACACTGATTTCCTTGTTGGTGTGTCTTTCTACCCCTCAATAAACAAATCCCAGGTACCCTTTTAAAACACCCCACTAAACTCATTAAGATGACATCAGATTTCCTCAGGAATTGCGATCAGAAAAATCTTCACTCAGAATGAACTGGAATAGTGAGGAAGGGTATTAAACTAAAGCGCCAAGACAATAAAATTTAGTTAGAAGAAAATCTAGTTTTTTGGATGGTTGGTCTATGCACTGCTTGGAAACATTTGGGTGATTCAATTTCATGGCTCTCCATCTGAAATTAGCCATCATGTGGCCATCATCTCCCATAGAGTTCTTCAGGTCAGTACAGGCCCAGCATCACAGAAAGATATATTGCTGCCGTTCAAAGAGCAATGCAATCATTTTGAGGCTGTACCTTACAGCTGTCACACATGTTGGGAAGCAGAGAAGGCAGAATTTCTGTGCATTGCTCAAGGTCGTCTGGAAAACCAGTAGTTGAGGCCACGTCTCCCAGACCATTAGACAGTCAGACATGAAATTCTCTGCATGATATTTCCGTTGCATCACCCAGGCTTGTTTTATGTTTGTTTGTTGGTGTCTTTTCTTTAGTAGACAAAGAAAATTTTAAATAGTTGTCAGCAGCCTCTGGTTCTAAATGTTTAAGGACATTAAGGTTCTATTTATGACCACTCTCAATTGGACAAAAGGACACGCAACAGTTGCCTTTCTCTCACCACTTTTCATAATATTGATGTCATCTGCTCAGTGTAACATTTGCCAGGCATAGACAAATATCCAACATGCACTTGGTAGAGGAGAGAGGTAGAGTCATGATGCTTGTCAGCTAGGGAAGAAGCACACAGAAATGCTGCTTGGGAAAGGGGTGCGTAATGCTTATGATGAATAACACAAATCTGTAGTACTTTATAATGATGACTGAAATCCCACAGCTCTAGCCTGCCAAGAAATTCAAGCAACCAGTATTGCTTCTGCAATACTCAAGCAACCTAAACTGTACTCAGGATTAGTACACATAATAGATAATTGATTATAAATCTGATTTGAGAGTTTTAGTATGCAAGCAAAAATTTGACTGACTTTTGTCCTTAGTTCTTGGGAGGTAGCTTCTAAACCCTTGAAATTTTCAGAGTGATAAGAGTATCTGTTATTCATGGTGGGCCCCTGGGCTCCTGCCCGATAGTTTATACAAATGAAGTAACTCAGGATGGGTGCTGGCTATGCCAGAAAGACCAATCATGAGATCAAAGGGTGGGAGCCCCAAGCCAGGTGATATCAACTCCACCCCTGGGGAGGGCAGCAGTGGCTGGAGATCGAGATCAACCTTCTGATCTCTTATTCAATCAGTCTTGCTGGTTTAATAATACCCCAGTAAAATCTCTGGACACGGAAGGTCAGTTGAGTGTTCATGGTTGGCAAATCTCTGCATACTGTCACACATCAATGTGCTGAAAGGGGAATGCATCCCTAAGAATGATGAAAGTTTCATGGTTGAAATCACCCCAGATATTGTCCTCTGTGTGTATCTTCTAATTTGTATTTTTTGCAATAAAACTATAATCATAAACACAGTACTTCCAGTGAGTTCTTTCTAGTCAATTATCAAACCTGAGAGGGTAGCGGGAATGCCTGAATTTGTGGCCAGTTGGTTAGGAGTAAAGATGGCTCTGGGACTCTGAAATTGTGGCTGGTGTCTGAAATGAGGACAGTCTTATGGAGGACTGTGCCCTCAACCTATAGGTAACTAGGAGCATGTATGCCCTAAACATATGCATGTTCATTTTCTCTTACATTCCTTTTCTCCTAACACTGCACATATTTTTAGGATAAAAACTCCTTATTGCAGATTTATTTTATTAATGCAGCTTTTCTACTTGCTAGGTTTCTTTCCCAAGATGGAGTGGGTAGTTGGCACCATGTCTCTCTGGATCAGGGAGGTGGAGGGATCCCAACATGCATATTTAATTCAGAAGGTGAAAGAGAGAGCTGCGGTAGCAGTGTGCTGGGTTCTTTCTGCCTGTGTCCTAAGTCTCTTTAGACCCTGTCAACCTGGACCATGCAGCTCAGTGAAGCTGGCAGTAGCCGCAGCAGTGGAAGGACAAGACACACAGGATGCAGTGGGGTAGCCTACAAGTCCATCGCAAAGAGAAATAAATTTCAAACAACTTTCCTGGCCACAGGTCCTCAGGATCTGGCTTATCTCTATGGTTTTTATTCCTGTCACTGTGCATTAGGCTCCAGCCACATCAGCCTTTTTACTACTGCTCAGCTGCTCTCAGTATGTTCTTGCTTCAGGTCTTGGCACTTGTGTTTTCTCTCTGGGATGCTCAGCCCTAAGCAATTCACATGGTAGCTCCTTCTCAGCCTGGACAGTTTAGCTCCAATATTACTTCCTTCCAGAGGTAACCAGAGGGAATGAAAAGACTCCCCACCTTTCCTCTACCTAGCCCCATCCTGGAGCTATTTCCTAGCCATTTCCTTGGCTTATTTCTTTAAAGGGCTTACCGCTATAGATAATATATTTTTCCTATATTTTGTTACAAATATATTTCCTGTCTCTACCTCTCCCACACACATAACCCTAACGTGAGCACAGTAATGACAGGGTCTTTACACCTGCCTTGTTTACACTGTGTCCTTGGCCCATGGAATAGTAACTGGCAGTTATTACTGGATGAATGGTAGAATAAAAAGCATTCACCAAGTACTGCTCACTGTAGGTGGTATGAGGCTTTTAGG